AAGAAACCACAGACTTTTAGGGAATAAGTTTCAGGGAGATCTGTCCAAAGAAGCTCCAAAACCTCCTCTCATCGGGCCTCCCCGCTGTCCTTACACCTCAGACCCTAAACCCCTACCATCGATGGACGGAGGCTCTTCGGGAAATTCACATCCAAAAAGCATCGTCGGATGTCTGATCTTGAAATAACCCCCTAAAGCCTGGAAGAAAGCCTCGCAAAACCGATTGTTTGCCCGATAAAAAACCCTAAACCGCAAACTTCCAACCCCAAACCTGAAACCCTAAAAGGAAGCCGAAATAATTTCCCCAACACTATCCTCAGGCTCCGGAATCAAAGCCCTATACAAATGAGCTCCACATCCTCTTCCGACTACTAAGGCCCCCTCCTTTTAACCCTGAACCCTGAACCCTAAAATCCCAAACCCTAAACCCCAAACCCTCAAAACCCTGAACCCTAAAACCCTCAACCCTAAATCCCCAAACCCTAAACCCTAAAACCCTAGACCCTGAACCCTAAACCCTAAAACCCTTAAACCCTAAACCCTAAAACCCTAAACCCTAAAAGCCCTAAACCCTAAAACCGGTTCGCTGAGCCCGCCACACGCCCAGACCTGAGCTGCCCTGGTAGCCGAAGTTGTCGAAGTGGATGCCTGGGCTTTAGGCGAAGGGCTCTAGGGTTTAGGGCGTTAGGGGTTCTAGGGTTTTAGGGCTTAAGCGGTTTCGGGCGAAGGGCTCTAGGGTTTAGGGCGAAGGGCTCTAGGGGTTTAGAGCTTCAGGGGTTTAGGGGCGTTAGGGGCTTAAGGGCTTAAGGGGCTAAGGGCTTAAGGGGTTTAGGGGTTTAGGGTTTATAGGGGTTTAGGGGTTTAGGGTTTGGGGGTTTAGGGCGTTAGGGGGTTTAGGGGTTTAGGGCTTAGGGGTTTAGAGGTTTAGGGCTTCGGGTTTAGGCTTTAAGGGGTTCAGGCTTTAGGGTTCTAGGGCTTATGGCTCTAGGGTCGAGTTTTAGAGCTTAGGGTTTAGGGCCTGTTTGGGGGCTTCGGGTTTAAGGCTTTGGGGTTTTAGGTCGCTAGGGCTTTTTGGTTTCAGGGGGCTGGGGGTTCAGGGTTTAGGGGTTTCGGGCTCAGGGTCTTGCGGTGCCTTTGCGTTTCAGGGTTGGGGCTTCAGGGTTCAAGGTTTCGGGCTTAGGGCTTCGATATTCAAGTCTATCATGATGACGGCGATCTACTGAACGGCCTCGGCACTGTTGGTAGGAGAACCCCTATAAGGACGAGTATCGGGAAGGCCCCTAGGAAATTTCACCAAAAGCCCAAGACCCCTAGAATAAGGAATAGACCTTAAACCATAATGCTAAGGCCCCTATAATATATTCCTTAATTATGAGGGGTATTGGGCTCTCTGGGTTTAGACCCTAAACCCTAAACCCTAAACCTTAAGCCGTTACCCAAAGGCAGGCGAGGTGCCCAGGATGTTCGGAACCACAACATGCCTGAAGACAGGGCACTGGAGTCTATTTTTAGGGTTTAGGGTTCTAGGGCTCTAGGGGTTTAGGGGTTTAGGGCTTAGGGTTTAGGATTTAGGGTTTTGGGTTTAGGGTTTAGGGGGATTTGTATAATCATCAGACTACCCAATAGGCCCCTAAGTAGTTCCTTTTCGTGGTTCATAATTAGAATCCTATAAGGTAATCCAAAAAAGGAACTACATAGGGACCTTATAATAATCATCAGGGTAAGCTCGGCCACAGTCTGTATAGGGCTTGATACAGGTAAAACAAAAAAATTCAGGATCTAAGAGGCGTCCGGTTTTGGTTGAGGGTTTAGGGTTCAGGGTCTAGGGTTTTGGGCCGAACCATCGTGGTTGATGTAGTGCTCTTTCAGCGAGCCTCTAGTCGTGATTGTGCGAGCTGTCATGCTACTCTACTCTGTTGAGTCGCGATCTGACAAACTCAAGCCCTAAATCCAACACCCTTGGCTCTGTCAAAGATGAACCCCGAAAGCCTCAAAGCCTACAGGCCCCAAATCGCATGCTTATCACCAGGACCAAAAAGTAAGTTAAACTCTGAAGCCCTAGAGCCTGAACCCATGTGCTTGAACTGACCTATATTCAACCAAGGCTGGCTCTTGGACCACACGTTGTGCTTTAAGCATTCAGGGAAGTCGGGTAGACATGTTTTGATGAGTCTATCCCGAAACCTCAATGTTCTGAATATACCGAAAGTCAAAAAGAGAGAGTCTTAGTATGATGAAAGGTATAGTAATATTTCTTCACCAAAAATGGGTTTCGGAGTTTGTCGGTTCAGTGCAGTGAAGGTTGAGGGCGTCATTGGCATTCATGGCATCATTGGGCTTAGGGTTTAGGGTTTAGGGTCTATAATGCATACGGATGAATGGATTGCGGAAGATGGGAAAAAAGCCAAATCCGGCAACTCGGGAATTGCGACAATGAGTTGTCTGACGGATCCGAAGTACACATGTCCCAAAAACCTACGTAACCCTAAACCCCTAAACCCTAAACCCCCAAACCCCTAAACCCTAAACCCTAAATCCTAAACCCCTAAACCCTAAACCCTAAACCCCTAAACCCCAAACCCCCTTAACCCCCAACTCCACAGGGAGCTTCTTTCACTCTGGCGTTGCACTCTCGGCACATCTACCCCCTTGGAGCTGGTGTTGGGTCCTCTTTCGGCACATTCGGGCTTGGGGGGTAGGCGCTTCAGGGGGTTCGAGATATAATGGGACTTTGGTCTTTTAGTTCAGGGTTCAGGGTTTAGGGGTTTAGGGTTTAGGGTCGGTGATGTGATCTTGGGATGGGGATTCAGGCCCTAATTTGACTCGGTAAGGCGACGTAGTATCCCCTAAAGAACCCCCTGGTGATCCTCATAAACCCGTCTTTTCAAAGTACTTACCAAATCGACAGGGCGTCAAAGTATGGCTTTGTGCTGTCCTTTCAACCCTCACACTGCGAACTCGAGACTTCCGAGTCACCGGGCTGCAAACGGTTTAGGGTATACCTATAGTCTCTATTGCAGTTCCTTTTTTTGGGCTTAACCAAATCTATATTAAGGATCCTAAAAGGTAACCCCCGAAAAAGGAACTACAATGGAGACTTTAGGTAGGGACGACTTGAAGGATACAGGGTTTAGGGTTTAGGGTTTAGGGAGAATACTGCAAAAAAGGGAGCTTCAAAGAACTGGGAAGCAATGATAGCCTGCACCCCCAAGCCGAAGTTCAGATCTCCTCGTAAGAACTCTTCAAAACACAATCTAGGAAGGGGACTCTTGCTTTCTAGGCCAGAACCTTTGTCTTCAAGAGCCTCCCAAAAGCCCTAAAACCCCCAAACCCTAAACCCAAAACCTGGTCCTTTTAGGTAGCCCTCCAACTCGGCAGTGGTATGCACAGGGCTCGCAGCAGTCGTCTCTGCAGTATCGTGACCTCTGCTGCATTGGGTTTATAGGGGTTTAGAGTTGCGGGTTTAGGGTGTGTAAGGTTTAGGGTTTAGGGTTTAGGGGTTTGGAGGGTTTAGGGTTTAGGGTTTACGGGTGTGTAAGATTTTTTTAAGTGCAGCAGCCTCTTTCATCCATCCGGATGGCGAGACTTGCTCCTAAGAGCATATACACTGTGCGAAAGGGCACACAGCACAGAGCCTCATACAAAGGCAAAGCAAAGGCGCTTCAGACTGTGCGTAAGGTTTCGAGTTTAGGGTATACGGGTGTAGGTTTTAGGGTTTAGGGGTTTGGGGTTTAGGGTATAAGAACACAAGTCAAGCCAGCCAGAATATCCCACTCTCCAGGATTTCGAGGTGCGTCGCTCATAAGGCATTAGGATTTGAGTTCAGTATTTCTACCATTTGCCCCAGGTCACACGTCTCGACAGCAAGAGACGAAACGACACCCAAATACATACAGACCCCTTGTAAATCCTGCACCCCCAACAGCACAAGTCCCCACTCCTTCTCAAAGCCCCAAAGAGCCTCGAAGGCGAGCACGAAAGTCCCAACGGCCCCAAGGCCCAGACCTCGACCCTGGAAAGTCCCAAGGCCTGCGGCGGTTTCCCAAAATTGAACTGCCAACTCTTCCCCTCCCAGAGGCGCAACAGAAACCCGTATTTTTTGGCGAAAAAACGACCAGAATTCTACGACTTACCCTCTGGAGACTGAAGCAGACCCTGTAAGTTATATATCCGAACACCCACCTCTTCCCAAAAAAAACGAGGACTGCGGTGCTTCCGCCGGTAGTTCTGGAAGCCTAAGCCTGAACCCTAACAAACCCTAAACCCTGCAGCCCCGAGCCCAAAGCCCTACATCCGAAAGCCCAAAACCCCCAACCCTAAATCCTATGGCCTAAACCCTAAACCCTAAACTCCCAACCCTGGATCCTAGGGCCAAAACCCCAAACCGCACTGCAAGGAAGCGTCCGAGGTCGCCGAGGAGGTGGCGAGACTCATCGCAGTCCGAGATTTCAACGTCGACACCTGCGACATTCCATCTTCCGCAAGCAAGCCTGGGCGGGTTTAGGATTTATAGGGTCTAGGGTCTTAGGGTTTAGGGTATAGGGTTTTTAGGATTTAGGGCAAGGGCTTAGGGTTTAAGGTTTCCCAGTAGCCCCTTAGAAATAGGGGTGCCGTTTTTCCGACTGTTTGGCTTCAATAAGGGAGCCCAAACAGAAAAAGGCCAAAGGGTCCTACTGCGAAACCTAGGGATTTAGGGTTTAGGGTAAGGCTGAGGGATTAGTGTACTTTGTGGAACTGCGGCAAGTGAAGTGTTGACCTTGGGCTTGGGGATGTTTGCGGGTTCCGTTCTGTCACAACGGGATACGGCTGCAACAAGCCTCGTGATGTACGGCGGAGCTGATGGAAGTTGAAACCTACTTGGATTAAATCGGCACTGCTAGTGCCACTTTTGCTAGTTCTGATAGTACCATAGTACTCCAGGCATCTCCTCGTTTGAGTTCTACATTCTTGTTTCAAGAGCCTCTTTGGAGCTTAACAGGGGCACTGCTCGGCCGAGGATCCATAGCACTTGTCCGCAGGAGACAGCGTTGGGTCCACAAACTGCAGTATCAGCATCACAGTGCCCTCGTTCAGCGTCCCGGCGCTTAAAACGTGAAGCGACCAGAGCACCTACACAGGGTTTAGTGTTTCGGGTAGGCGGTGCAGTGTCCCTGAAAAATCCCTTGTACAGCAAGCCTGTTTTCAAGGTAGCCGTGTTATGGTAACCCGTTTATAGCAGGTTTTGACAGGCCGTCCTGGGTCACCACTTGCTGTTTGGACTCGCGGCGGCGCATCTGCAAGCCTTTGAGGATCTTCAGAGAGTGCTCCCCTCGACAGACGGTGTAGTTCGGCTTCCTGGGCCGGTCTCAAGGCCAGGTTGTCTTTTGAGATTTAAGGTTGAAAGTCAAGGGCTTGTGGGGATTTAGGAAACTCAGGAATTCAGGACTTGAGGGATGAGGGTTTATGCCTTGCTATGCAAATCCTAACTCGCCGCATCAGGTCTGAGCCTAGGGCAACAGGGTGATTCTCCTGCGTCTCGGAATCAGCTGACCAGCTAACTCCGCCTCTGTGCAAAGAGACTGAAGGACGGCGGTCAAGGGCGCGTGGTATTACAAGGCCTTTGGAGGCAAAATACACCAAGCTTCCTAAGGAACACCCGGCATAGGGGAACCCAGAGCAGAAGCGAAGGGCTTGACACTGTTTTGACATGTCAAGCAGGGTTTGCAAGAGGCTATCATAGCCATTGCTGCAATACAGAATTTATTGGCATGCGAAGCAGCCAAGCCCACATGAGTTTTGGGATGTACGGCCAAAATATGAAGCCGGGACAGCCGGATAAATTCAGGGTTTCGGGCAGGCTCACACGCAAGCCGAAGAAGGGGCTTCAGCTAAGAGCCTAAATACTCTACGTAGCCGCAAACTTAGACCACAAAGCTCAATCCTGAGCTGCCCCAAACACCTGGAAACCCAAAACCACAGAACATCCGCAAGGCCCTAAACCCTTAGCTATACCTCTGAGCCCTAAAACACTAAACCCGACCTCGTTGTCACAAAGCCTTCGGTGATCTTGAAGGCAGCTGGCAGTCAAGGGGGTGCGCCTCAAGCCTCGATCTTTGGAGGCTTTAATTAGGGGTTTAGGGTTTAGGGTTTAGGGGTTTAGGGTTTAAGTTTTAGGGTTTAGGGTTTAGGACTGGTTGAACTGCAAGGGTTCCGAGTTCCACAAGAATTGTAGAAAGAAATGCTCAAGATAGGGTTTGGCTTTTCGCAAACGGGCGCGAAGTTGGTGTTCATGAATAGGGGTTCAGAATGTTTACGATCTTTTGCTGTTGCACTACGAATTTTGATGTGGTGGCTTTGCCAACCGTTGTGGGGGGTGGGGAACATCAGCTTGCTCTGCGCACCCGACCCAGAGAACCCTTCTAGTTTAAACTTTAGACGTACCTTTAGCAGCCATGCGACTTTCACCTATTGCAAATAGTTTGTTGAAGCTTCGTGTCACAGCTATGGTCTGGCATGGGGCTTATATAAGTTCTCGGCTATGTTGTCCAAGATCTCATCTCCAAAAATCTGCACTGAAACGTTTGTGCAAGCCAAGTGATACTTCAAACAAGGGATCCGAACATACGGTAGAAGCCAGAAAAGTTGGAACATCAATATCCTCATGCCCGTAAGGTAACATATAACGAATCTCAGCACTGATAATCATCCTGAAACCATGTTCCAACTTTCTGGGATTCACTATAGACTCTACCTGCAGCCTGGATATCCTTCCTTTTGGTGGGGCGTGCAAAAAAAAATCCTGGGTCTCATCGCAGACTCTGGCCACTCGTCTAGAAGAAATGGCCCGGACCCTACGTATGACCCCTGTTCGTTTGCATATGTTCCTTAAGGAATGAAGGATTACAAGATGTAATGGGAGCTTTTCCCAGACTTACATCGAGGATGTAGCTTCATACTGGAGCTTTTATCATGAACTGTAAGGAACCGAAACTGGAACCGCGAACCGGAACCGATTCCTCAGGAAACGCTAGAACCGCAATGGCAACGCCGGTTTAGGAACCATGAAACGCAAACCTGCCGAACCGAACCGTCCAGTCGGTTCCCAGCTTGCCTGGTTAGAAGCATGGAACCTTTTGTCTTTCTGCTAGGGAATCCAGTCTTCTGTCATTTACAAGCCGGGGACGCTTTTTTGGATCTGGTTGAACAACAGCATTCAAGTGCATTCAAAATCTAGCATCGAGGGCATCCGGGTTATGGGATCCTTTGGAAAGTTACAACCGTATTCCAGAGCATCCAAATTTAAAATCGAGTATACAGAGCATCCGGGTTTTGCTTGACTTGCCTCTGCTTGCCTTGTTAGAGGCAGGGAACCTTCTGTCCCTCTGCGAGGGAATCCATGCTTCCGTCATTTACAGGCCGGAAAGGCGTTTGGATCTGGTTGAACAACAGCATTCCAAAGAATTCAAAGCCTGCCGGGCCCTTTGGAAGGGTCTTAGTCGCATTCCAGCAAGCGTTCGAGCATCAAAAGCATCCGGGTTAGGGACTACTGGCGCCCCCTCTGGCGGACTCCGCGTCCGGCCGTCTCTATGGGTTAAAAGAAAAGCATATGGTTTCTCAATGTTGAGGGTTCCTGGATGGGTGGGTATTTTTCTAGGATCAAATTAGCGGCTTCGACAATAGACCCTGGACCTTAAACCCTGAACCCTAAACCCTAAACCTCAAACCTTAAAACTCAAGGCTTAGGCCGCCCACCTCCGTGGGCGGGCGGCGCTTACGCCCCGCGTCAGGCTTGGCAAACCCTAAACCCTACCCTGGGGCTCCAAATTGCCCAAAGTAGGTCCTATTTATAGACCTTAGGCCCCAAAGTAGGTACCATTTGCATACTTGGAGCCCTTGGGCTATTACTTGAAACCATTCACGCTGAACCCATCCCTCCGAAGTCTCCTGTCTTTTGGTATGCCAGTGCTGAGGGCTTCGGGCTCCCAAGTCTGTTGGGGTTCAGGGTTTGAGTGCTTAGGGTTTTAGGGTTTAGGGCTTTAGGGCTTTAGGGTTTAGGGTTTAGGGGTTTAGGGTTTAGGGTTTTAGGGTTTAGGGTTTAGGGTTTAGGGCTTTAGGGTTTAGGTTTAGGGCGGTCTGACGACAAAGACGACTGCGACTGCTACTGGTGCAGCTCTTCCCAATACCACGAGCACCAGCGTATACTCTCACATCTGTTGCCACTCCTTGCCCCTGCTGCTACATCATCTTCCCACAAAAGAACACTTATAATATATTCACAACGATATCAAATATCAAACCAACACTTTACCTGTAGCTTGTACTAGCCAAATTGGCTGGGACAGGATTATTCACGCCCCGAAAACCTATCTCTAAACCCTAAATTAAACTCTAAACCCTAAACCTTTGAACATGACAGAAGCCCAGCAGCTCAAGTGAATTGCTCTGATGCGAAGGCCCACGTGCCTGGTCGCTTCACGTTGTCTAATTTTTTTGGGGGGGCGGCCTTATAAGACCTGGACTCCCCGATTGTATGTAGGGTTTGCGTCTCTGGCTTTAGGATTACGGGTTTAGGGGGCTTGAGGTTTGAGGGCTTAGGTGGCTTAGCTTTCAGCTTAAGCTTTAGGGTCTGAGGGCTTAGGGTTCAGGCGTGGTTTCGGGGGTAGAGGGTTATGGAAGAGGTTTTAGCCCCTCCCCCCGCCCCTGCCATGTTCTTGATGCGGTTTTTATCTTTACTTTAGCATCTGCGTGCTGACCCTTGCTCTGGCAAATAGTATGGTGGCATCTTGGTGATGATGGTGCCGTTGATGAACACGTGAGGATGATGATGGCGATGGTGATAGCTGATAGCCATGATTCTGAGGTAGTGTTGGCGACGGTTCTGCTTACCAGTCAAAGAAGCCCAAAAAACCAACAAAGCAACATGCATTGACATCTGTCCCCTTTACAACGAAGGCCCGAAAGCCCATGTTGAGGGAGCCAGGTTAAGCAAAACGCTTTAGGCTTTAGTGTTTATGGGGTTTAGGGTTTAGGGTTCATGCCGATGGTGCATCTCAACTCGAGTCGAATCCTGCTCTAGCCTTCAGAGTCCCAGCACCGCCGAGCGTAGCTAGCTTGTGCTGCAGAACCCAACACGCAACATCTTCGGCTCCGAACTTTCTCCAAGCCTCAAGTTCTGAAAAGACCTCCTTATTGAGGGATCTGGCTTAGAAGATATTGGGGTTTGTTATTCTGACTTAAGGATCAATGCACATGAAAAAAGGAATATTGGCATTGCGCTCTCAAGC